AAGTGAAGTACAATCCTTACAAAGCAAAACCCCTTTTAATGAGCGGCTGTGATCTGAGCAGGCCATTTGTGGAACATGTGGCCATTTAGCACCAAACATTGATTAATTAATTGTGTCTCAGCTTTTACCATGCAAGATCCCCTGCTCCTTAATCTTCTGGTCATGTCTAAAGGCAGAAGCTCAACAACTCCAGTAAGGACAAACTCCCTGCTGAGCCAGATGGCCGCAATATGAGGATTAACTGAGTCCTGTCCTTCCTGCTTTCATCATGACTCGGGACTGCTCAGAACATGTTTAACAGCCTCTGGTAGGAGCACTGGTGTCAACACATAGGAACCAAAATGGCCATTGATAAATAACTGAAAGAAGCCAAAGACTCTGCTCAGAAGCCTTTTTGTTTGGAGAAATTCCCTCATTCAACCAATTCTAAACTCCTCCGCAGTCCACAGGGAGGTGCTTTAAAGACAGGAAGACTACAAATGGAAGCTGACCATAACTTTAAGGAACCAGATTTCAAAACCAGCTTAGCAGATGTGCAGGAAAAGAAAGTTTCCATTACCAATCCTGCATCTTGGTAGCTAGCAAGAAGGATCAAGGGACACACCACCACTACAAACTCATGACTGTTCTTACCCAACGCAAGAATCGGGACAGTTTAGTGTAGACACCGTATTTACCCTTCCTTGCACATCCTTCTCCCCAGCTAACAATTCCAGTAACAAAGTAAGTATCCTTGTATCTGGTCACATGGGGGCCACCACTATCTCCTTGGCAAGCATCCTTTTGTTCTGTGTCATAACCAGCACAGAACATGTTCTCAGTTATGGCTAAGTTAGTGGACTGCTTACAAGTGTTCCTGTTAACATAGGGGACTTCGAGCACCTTCAGTTTTTTGGATCTTCGTCCGCCTTCAAATTCACGCCCAAAGCCACTAACCCTCCCAGATCTTTGGTTCATCAGAACTTCATTAGCAAAGTCTGCTTTGGGGAGACACGCTGCGACGACGTACTCCGAAAACCTGATAGGTTCCTTCAGCTTTAATAAGGCAATGTCATTATCATAAGTGTCAATAATAAATTTAGAATGAACAAGTATTTTGTCCACAGTGTGCATTGATTCAGATGGCTCTTTCTTCTCTCTGTCCACTTCACCTGTACAAGAGCATTAAAAGGGCCATTAATGTGGAGAAAGGGTAAGAATTTTAGAACAACCTTGGCAGAGGAAGAGAGCAGAATATTCATTCTGAGCACCTTGCCCAGGACCTTAGACGACACAAGGAAACTGTGAACAGGTGTGGCAGTGTTTCTTTGCAGCCAGTGTGTCGCCATTGGTCGTGAGGTTTGGTCTATGGAGATTTTTGTACCAGTTTACATAAAGGCATAAGCTGATTCAGCTAAACTAATGCAATTTTGTGTGGGAGCAATTACAGGAGCTTGAGCCTGGTTTAGAGAAGAGAACATGGTCTGGACTGCAACAGTGCAAAGCTGAAGCTGTGTTGATCCTGTGTCCTGGCTCAAAAGGGAAGCAATGATAATAAATCTGAGTCTATTCTATCGTGCTCTATTCAATGAGTCAAACAATGAGTTTGTTCCCACAAGAACAAACCTGGATGCTTATGAAGTGCTAGGAATGATGAGCTCTGTTACAGCAGAAGCACTGCTCTGCTGAACACATCAATAGCCAACAGTTCTAGAATATTTGACTGTAATCACTCTCAGCTAGCTGGCAGAGAAGAAGGAGAGGCACCTGTTGTTACAAACAGGATTCTCACAATAACAAGAAATTATAAAAAGCAGCAGAAAGGTAAAACACCTTAATGAATCGGGAGTACATCTCACAGGAGATTCATGGCACAGAAGGTTAAGCACAACAGATAGTTGTCCCACCTCAGAGGAATAAAAGAAATAATCACTCACCAACAACAACTTTGATTTCTTTGGATTGGTTTATGCAATGAGCTGCAGTAAGTATAAAATTTTCACTCAGAACAGTTCCACCACAAAACTCTTCTCCTTCCTCGTCTATCAGAACAGCCTGTGAATGAAAACAGGTAAGTGCAGAAGGAGCAAGTGCAGGTTACTGTCCATGAACTATGAAGAGCTAACTGCTTTCTCTGCACATTACAGAGATGCTTCTTACAGCAGTGTGTATGTGGCCCTCCAGGTCTCTCCTGTTATCGTATTCTCAGGTGCAGAGGCCACAGATTGACTTCTGCTGCTACAGATTCTCGACTGACTTTATGTCAAGTTGACATTTGGCTTCCACACAACCTCACTCCCAGTGCTGAGCAACGTCCCTGAGGCACTGACCGGCTGAGCAGGCAGAGCGCACACTCCAGATCACCCCATCCCTTGGACTTTCTCCCTCAAAGAATGTCCCAAATAAAGGAATTCATTTTGGCTGGCCCAAACTCAAGAGTAAAACTGAGACACGAGGCTGTATTTGTGAAGCAAAACGCTGGCTTTCTCTGTTTTATCACCCTGCTCCCAGGTGTGCTGCCTCAGTGGATGGTCTCAGACAGAACCAAAATGTAACCTGCAAAAATGGCCTGGGAGACCAGCATGACCCAAAAGTCCTCTCTGGGGATAGAGTAGGCAGCTCCATCAAAAATGGCACAAAGCCTTTTGTTTAGACACTGTGAGGCTGCAGTTTGCAGAACAGCACATCCAAGTGCCCAGGGCCACACAGTTCAGCTACGTCTCACTGCCACTGGCACATGGCACAGGTCACATTCAGAAGGCAACAGCTGGAAAGAGCCACTGCTCACCTTGCCTCACACACACTCTGCCCCATGCAGGGCAAACCCCCCTCCATTTACCTGCCATGGGCATTGGCCAGGAGGACACTCATCCCCACCAACTATCCTGGTATCCACATATGGAGTCTTGCTGCTTGTTCTGTTGTCAGGGGGAGGGGTTGGGCTTTCTGTGGTAATTGCAAAGCCCTCCTCTGCGCTCGTTCCGTTTGCAAAAGTCATTTCTTCATCACTTGTTCCATTATTATAGTCAGCGGGTGAAAGAACAGACCTTTTCTGCCTTGCCACAAAAACTTTTCCACAAGGGAATTTTACTGTGAAGAGAAGAAGGTTAAAATTGAAGAAGAAGAGAAATACCAGCATATGAAAAAACATCTTGGCAACATCAAGGAAACTGAGTGGAGTAATGTGGCTCACAAAAGCAACTTGTTATTTTTTAAAGGATATAAAGAACAACATCATGATCATATGTTTGAGATGTCTGACCAGCCTTCTTACAAGACTCTAAAAATGTACAGGTGTAAGTAGCATTAATTATGAGTATTGAATATTTTCAATTTCTATAAAAAGAAAGGTTCTGAAAAGAAAGTTTTGCAGGCTGACACTTTATGTGGTGTGGCAGCAGCCTCAAGGGAGACAAAGAGTTACATTGTCCCACCTGAAACCCCTTGTGAAGGATGGCCCAGGTGCTCTGATTGGCTTTGAGTCCCTGGGGGGTTCTCCCTTGGTGTGCTTCTACTGGTCCCTGACCCTGAATTCCACCCTCAAAGGTGGAAACCCTTGAGAGTTCTGTCCCTCAAAAACCCCTGCTGTGCCTCTGTTCAGGGCTCTCTGGTCTGGACCTGACTTTCTTCCCATGCTGAATAAATGGTTTCATGAACTGGAGCCCGTCTCGGTGTTTCACGCTGGTCCCCAGAATCCTGCTGCTTCCCTGGACAAGATCCTGAGATTGCTGACTGTAACATTGTGGTGTTTAAGTATTTAAGAATATTAGTTATTACTGCAATTAGTTTTCATTTGACAGCAATGGAACCTGGTAATTTGCTGAGAGGCACCTTGCAAAGGGTCTAAAAACACTTAGATCTTGATCCAATCCATCACAGCACCTCACAAATGGAAGGCTTTGGAAATCTCTTGGCTTCACTGTTGAGTCTATGTCATGTAGGATACTGGTGGTTTGAAAACCATTCTTCAACTGTAGACCAACACATCCCTTAACTGTGAAACAAGTCTCACCACCACCGCTATTGATTTGTCTCGTGGCTCTGTACCTGTTGCAACACAGCGTTTGCCATCCTCTGCTAGAGCATACCCATCTGCACAGGAACACAGCACATCCTTCCGTCCATCTCTTCTGACACTGCAGAACTGCTCACAGTCGCCATTGTTTATTCTGCAGAACTTGGGTATGACTATAAAAGAGACGGTGGGAGAAAAACTCTACACAAACACTGACTTCACGGAACATCCGCAAGTTCTCCAAAACAAAACACGCTCTTTAGATGGGATCTGTATCCCCACCTGCCGAGCACCTGAAGCACCTTTTAGGAACCCCTCATGTGAGTGCTGAACATCAGCTTGTGCCTTACAAAGCAGCTGCATCCAGCCTACAAAATGTACTTGCTAAGTCCAAGTGGGCCCAGTGGCCATGGCATGGTGAGCTCAGAAAAGCAGAGACAAATTGTCAGGGGAAGAATGAACAAAACTCACCGAGAACATAACTGTGTAAATCCTCACATGACATCTCCCTCCTGCCCTAAAACACTCAACTCCTCATCACTCCCCTCCATGCTGTGACTGCACCTCAGTTCCACACTCCCACTCTTACTGCTGGGCTAATGATACACCCTCCCATGGCAAGATCACAGTGGCAGCTCTCTGCCACAGTGTGAGCCCCAGGAAGGATTTCCATACAAAACATGTTTCCTTGCAAGGCTCCCTGGGAAGATGACCACCACAGCTCTCTAAAGCAGAAACTTACCAAATTCACAGTTCTTGCCTTGATAGCCATCCAAGCACGTGCAAGTGTAGGAACCAATTCCATCTTTACAGTGGCCACCATAGTGGCAAGGATTTGAACTGCATTGGTTCCCATCTGCAAAAACAAACCAAAACACAAATTATTGGAAGAGTGCAAGTATTTTCAGTGAACACGGAAGGGCTCTTTGTTTTCTTAAGCCATCTTTCATCCTTCCTTTTCCAATATAGGTCCTGTGAGTTGCCACATTCCAGATGGAACAAACAGTATAAATGCAATCATTCCAAACCTGCAGATGGAACAAACAGTATAAATGCAATCATTCCAAACCTGCAATGATTCATCTACATATCCTCAGTTTTGCAATCTCTTTTTGGTGGCTACTCTTTGACAGTGTGTACACAAGCCTTTTTTTTGTAGCAAAGTAAAGTAATACATAGTGGACAGAGTCTACGTAACTTCCAGTGTATCCTGTAAAACCAGTCAGAAATTTCTATATTGCAACTACTTGCTAAAACCCTTCACTTTTTATATCCTGAAAGCTGATTTCAGGCCTCCTGCATATCTTCTTCCTGCAGAGCTGTTAATTTTAAGACACAGATATCATCATATTAAACAAAAACTAGTAAAATTCCCAAACTTTAAGAAAACCTGCTAAATACAGATGAGCAGGCCTGATGTCTGTATTGTTTAGAGCACCAAAATTTTCCCACTGTATCCACTGAGGTACGAGTTTGAGCTGGAATTTATTACCTCTTACTTCATGCTGCCCACATCTATGCTGGCATCTCAAGTTCTGCAGCCTTTCTTCCTTTACCAGACACAACTGTCTGACCTGACTCCAGGGCCCCAGCCACACATATCTCATAAACTCAGTATTATGGAGGACAGGGAGGTAACTCTGCATTTGGAGACACATTTCATGTAGCAGCTCTTTCTCTCCCATCTCTGGTGTTGACATGGTCTTTCCCATTTAATGCTCTGCTGCAAAAAATGTGTTCACTCCTCACACATGTTCTCTGGGATGCACTGTGTCATACAAGAAGTAGGATATCCAGAAAAGTGACATTTGCTTAATAATTCATTACTTTAGACAAGAAAAAAATCTAATTTCTAAATTTTAGCACCTGTTCACCCCCTGTTTGGAGCAGGGTCAGAATAGGTGGGACAATTTATTTTATCAAGTACAGCTATGATGTTTGTGTGGAGAATTAGAAAATCACAGCGTTATATGGGGTAGGGTACTTGTTCTCCTCTGCACAGTAAAACATTGTGGGAATAATTTTGTCCCTCAGAAGCTTACAAATGGATAGTAAGGATTTTTAATTATCATGTCTCTTGACAAAATCAGAAATGGCCCATTAATTGTGCTGAGCATTTGAATGGTTTAGGCAAGGCAGCACAAAGCCAAGTTAAAGCAAACACTCTACCTGTCTGCCTCATCTGAAGGAAAAGGAGGACAACAGGAAGAAGCCACACTGTCCCACGATGACCTGCCATGCTCATCCTCCGAGCTCACTGCGCATCACCCACTGCTTTCTCTGCAGGGCTCTGGGGCAGCTGCTAAATGAGAAACACCACAGTGCAAAGGTCCTTCACTCATGAGAAAACAAAACCCCTGAGAGCAAAGTCTTTGCTCTCACTGTGCATGTCACCATGGCACAGTGTGAAGACACAAAAAAGTGAGTGTGCTGCACTGAAAGCCTTGTGTTGGCAGAGCACCTCAAAAAGGCTTTCCCATGGAAATTTTGACAGACCATCTAAAACAGTTTGACTATACAGGCAGCAAAGAGCTGGAGTAAGTGATTTGGCTCTTTTCCTTGTCCCAAGGAAGGCAGAACAACCAGAGCCAGAGCTTTGTGCCTCCTGTACGCTGGGCCAAAGAGAGAAGGCAGCCCAGAAGTGAGGAGTGAATCAAGGTACCAAGTTTGCAGATCTTGGCAAGCACATTGCAAAGATGTTACCCACCAGCTCCGTCATAAGCACAAGGACAGAGCACACTTCCCCAAAGCCATTGATTTCCATCCCTTTATGAATGTTGGGGGGTGTTCTTGTTTGAAAGCAAACCAGAGGGAGATCCCAAGTCAGAAATACAATTTAATTGGAAAATTAAAATAAATGTAATAATACAGAAGCAATGCCATAGTTAGAATACAACCTGATACCGTGTCTGTCTGTGTGTTTGTAGCAGTCCTATTAATTGGTGGCTGCGGTCGTCTTGAAGTGATAGATGCTCTGTTGAAGCAGTGATCCTGTAGAAGGGTTTGATCTTCCTCTGAAGGTCCAGTGGTGGTTATGCAGCTCTTGTCCTCTGGGAATTCAGTGGATAAGGCTGATTGTGGTGTTCCAAGGCTCAGAATATATCCAGGTAGGAATGCTTGGCTCCTCCTCCTGGGTGGAGCATCTCACAATGGGACAATGTAATTTTAGCAGTCATGCAGTGAGACCCAATGAACCATTAACAGAAGATATCCCCCTGGAGTGATCAGGGGTGAGTCATGAAGGAGATAAGGAACATTGCCCCACTTGGTTTAAACAACATATGAAGACTGTGATAGAATACATACTTCTGGTTACATTTTACATTGTAACCTAAGACAGAAGGTTATGGGATTTATATGCTGTTTTCTCTTGTTCAAACCACCCCAAGAGGACAGCTCTTGACAGGGCACTGTTGTCTGGGAATCAGGCTATGGAAGACAATCCTGACAGGTGAGTCATCTGTGCCAGGGAGCAGGACACAGGAAGCTTTTTCTTGTCATGCTAGTGCAGGACACAAAGGCACAATCCTAACAGGGACACTCTGCTTGTGTTGCTCACCTGGAAAGACTGACAAGGGCACCCAGCCCAGCCTACTGAGACAACAGGGGATCAAGTTGACCTCTATTATACTTTTGGCACGCTGCCCAAGGCTCCAGGAAAGATGCTATCTGGAAAGATGCTTCCAGTTGGACACTGGGCCTGCTGCAGAGTGTTTTCCTCCCATACTGTGGGATACTATAAGAAAAGGCAGCTTGTCCACACTGGTTACTTAGGGCAGCCCCCATCATGCTGCACACCTGACAGCTACTTACACATCCCACTCTGGAAGACAACCGGCCCCAGAGACTTCACTGCCCTTCTAGGAAAATCCACTGCAGGGCACCTCTAGCCACAGGACTTACCATGCTTCCTTTCTTCCCTTAAGCCCTTGAGGACTGGCTTTTCCTTGAAGGCAGAAGCCTGAGTACTAGAGGGTACCTTAGAGCCTCTCTGTCCACCATCCTTGGTACATACCAGCTACAGCCTAAGCCAGCTGTGTCTGCTTGCCACGAGGAATTCTGGTATCTTAAAATCCACCTCCTTACTCAGCAGCTGTGTGCAGTGCCCCTTTCCTGGACTTTGCATTCTGTTCAAATCTGCTATGTGAAATTACTCCTGAATCATTTATCTACATTAAAAAAAGAGAGTGCTTTAATTCCTCCTTTTGTTGCAGGCCCTAGGGTTGCTTATGACCTTTGATAGGAGGTCCAGAGGCAAGCAGATGTTTCACCCATGCCTCTCAGCACAGCAGAGATGCTGGCACAGAAAGAGCAATGGACAGGAAGTGATGCCTTCAGCTACCTCAACACCTTTCCAGCCCAGTCTGTGTTTTGCTTCAGTCCTCAAGCTCTGCTTCAGCAGAAGAAAGCCCTGAGCAAGCGTATGGAAGTAGGATTTGAGTAGGACCCTGACCTGAGGTTTTCCTTTGAACAGGGAAATTGAGCACAAGGCACAGTACCCATGGGATGAGGGACTTGAGCAGGAATCCAGTGCACAGAAGAAGCCAGGGAACAAACACTGCTGAGTAGACTTTGAAGAAAGCCCACTGAGGAGTTCTACAGGCCAAGACCATCATGCTGGGGTAGCTGACCTGCCCACTCACTTTCCTGCCCACAATTAGTGCTGGCTGCAGCAATGTTCGCTGTTTGCAGAGTTGTATTTCGAGTTTGTCAGTCTGCTTTGCTCACAGCACCTGCTGTGTGAAACAAGCCAGTACCAGCTCAAAGCCTGAGAAAGAAGTAGCAGGTGTCTAATGAAGTTCAGTGTTCCTCAGAGCATAAGAGATTGGAGAAGCCTTGGAAAAGCCATCAGAATTGTCAGTGGAATAGAGGCTGTAAGAGAAAAACCCAACCAAAGGAGAACAAAAGAGAAAGAATGTTTTATTTCAAATGCTGGTGTACATCAATATTGCACCTAACAGGAACATCTAGAACAATACACTTGTAAGGAGCTTTCCACTCCTCAGCCATACATAATCCAGAACAAGATACAGAAAACAGTGAATGTGCACATATATTTTTTTCCAATGAACAGAGTGTACAAATAAAAATAAAGTGAAGTACAATCCTTACAAAGCAAAACCCCTTTTAATGAGCGGCCGTGATCTGAGCAGGCCATTTGTGGAACATGTGGCCATTTAGCACCAAACACTGATTAATTAATTGTGTCTCAGCTTTTACCATGCAAGATCCCCTGCTCCNTTAGCAAAGTCTGCTTTGGGGAGACACGCTGCGACGACGTACTCCGAAAACCTGATAGGCTCCTTCAGCTTTAATAAGGCAATGTCATTATCATAAGTCTCAGCAACAAACTTGGAGTGAACGAATATTTTGTCCACAGTGTGCATTGATTCAGATGGCTCTTTCTTCTCTCTGTCTACTTCACCTGTACAAGAGCATTAAAAGGGTCATTAATGTGGAGAAAGGGTAAGAATTTTAGAATTTAAGATGACACTGTGTTGATCCTGTGTCCTGGCTCAAAAGGGAAGCAATGATAAATCTGAATCAGTTCTTTTGTGCTCTATTCAATGAGTCAAACAATGAGTTTGTTCCCACAAGAACAAACCTGGATGCTTATGAAGTGCTAGGAATGACAAGCTCTGTTACAGCAGAAGCACTGCTCTGCTGAACACATCAATAGCCAACAGTTCTAGAATATTTGACTATAGTAATGACTAGAGTAATCACTCTCAGCTAGCTGGCAGAGAAGAAGGAGAGGCACCTGTTGTTACAAACAGGATTCTCACAATAACAAGAAATTATAAAAAGCAGCAGAAAGGTAAAACACCTGAAGTGTGTTAAGGGAGTACATCTCACAGGAGATTTATGGCACAGAAGGTTAAGCACAACAGATAGTCATCCCACCTCAGAGGAGTAAAAGAAATAATCACTCACCAACAACAACTTTGATTTCTTTGGATTGGTTTATGCAATGAGCTGCAGTAAGTATAAAATTTTCACTCAGAACAGTTCCACCACAAAACACTTTTCCTTCCTCATCTATCAGAACAGCCTGTGAATGAAAACAGGTAAGTGCAGAAGGAGCAAGTGCAGGTTACTGTCCATGAACTATGAAGAGCTAACTGCTTTCTCTGCACATTACAGAGATGCTTCTTACAGCAGTGTGTATGTGGCCCTCCAGGTCTCTCCTGTTATCGTATTCTCAGGTGCAGAGGCCACAGATTGACTTCTGCTGCTACAGATTCTCGACTGACTTTATGTCAAGTTGACATTTGGCTTCCACACAACCTCACTCCCAGTGCTGAGCAACGTCCCTGAGGCACTGACCGGCTGAGCAGGCAGAGCGCACACTCCAGATCACCCCATCCCTTGGAATTTCTCCCTCAAAGAATGTCCCAAATACAGGAATTCATTTTGGCTGGCCCAAACTCAAGAGTAAAACTGAGACACGAGGCTGTATGTGTGAAGTAAAACGCTGGCTTTCTCTGTTTTATCACCCTGCTCCCAGGTGTGCTGCCTCAGTGGATGGTCTCAGACAGAACCAAAATGTAACCTGCAAAAATGGCCTGGGAGACCAGCATGACCCAAAAGTCCTCTCTGGGGATAGAGTAGGCAGCTCCATCAAAAACGGCACAAAGCCTTTTGTTTAGACACTGTGAGGCTGCAGTTTGCAGAACAGCACATCCAAGTGCCCAGGGCCACACAGTTCAGCTACGTCTCACTGCCACTGGCACATGGCACAGGTCACATTCAGAAGGCAACAGCTGGAAAGAGCCACTGCTCACCTTGCCTCACACACACTCTGCCCCATGCAGGGCAAACCCCCCTCCATTTACCTGCCATGGGCATTGGCCAGGAGGACACTCATCCCCACCAACTATCCTGGTATCCACATATGGAGTCTTGCTGCTTGTTCTGTTGTCAGGGGGAGGGGTTGGGCTTTCTGTGGTAATTGCAAAGCCCTCCTCTGCGCTCGTTCCGTTTGCAAAAGTCATTTCTTCATCACTTGTTCCATTATTATAGTCAGCGGGTGAAAGAACAGACCTTTTCTGCCTTGCCACAAAAACTTTTCCACAAGGGAATTTTACTGTGAAGAGAAGAATGTTAAAATTGAAGAAGAAGAGAAACACCAGCATATGAAAAAACATCTTGGCAACATCAAGGAAACTGAGTGGAGTAATGTGGCTCACAAGAACAACAAGTTATTTTTTAAAGGATATAAAGAACAACATCATGATCATATGTTTGAGATGTCTGACCAGCCTTCTTACAAGAGTCTAAAAATGTACAGGTGTAAGTAGCATTAATTATGAGTATTGAATATTTTCAGTTTCTATAAAAAGAAAGGTTCTGAAAAGAAAGTTTTGCAGGCTGCCACTTTATGTGGTGTGTAAGTATTTAAGAATATTAGTTATTACTGCAATTAGTTTTCATTTGACAGCTATGGAACCTGGTAATTTGCTGAGAGGCACCTTGCAAAGGGTCTAAAAACACTTAGATTTCTATCCAATCCATCACAGCACCTCACAAATGGAAGGCTTTGGAAATCTCTTGGCCTCACTGTTGAGTCTATGTCATGTAGGATACTGGTGGTTTGAAAACCATTCTTCAACTGTAGACCAACACACCCCTTAACTGTGAAACAAGTCTCACCACCACCGCTATTGATTTGTCTCGTGGCTCTGTACCTGTTGCAACACAGCGTTTGCCATCCTCTGCTAGAGCATACCCATCTGCACAGGAACACAGCACATCCTTCCGTCCATCTCTTCTGACACTGCAGAACTGCTCACAGTCGCCATTGTTTATTCTGCAGAACTTGGGTATGACTATAAAAGAGACGGTGGGAGAAAAACTCTACATAAACACTGACTTCACGGAACATCCGCAAGTTCTCCAAAACAAAACACGCTCTTTAGATGGGATCTGTATCCCCACCTGCCGAGCACCTGAAGCACCTTTTAGGAACCCCACATGTGAGTGCTGAACATCAGCTTGTGCCTTACAAAGCAGCTGCATCCAGCCTACAAAATGTACTTGCTAAGTCCAAGTGGGCCCAGTGGCCATGGCATGGTGCGCTCAGAAAAGCAGAGACAAATTGTCAGGGGAAGAATGAACAAAACTCACCGAGAACATAACTGTGTAAATCCTCACATGACATCTCCCTCCTGCCCTAAAACACTCAACTCCTCATCACTCCATGCTGTGACTGCACCTCAGTTCCACACTCCCACTCTTACTGCTGGGCTAATGATACACCCTTCCATGGCAAGATCACAGTGGCAGCTCTCTGCCACAGTGTGAGCCCCAGGAAGGATTTCCATCTAAAACATGTTTCCTTGCAAGGCTCCCTGGGAAGATCACCACCACAGCTCTCTAAAGCAGAAACTTACCAAATTCACAGTTCTTGCCTTGATAGCCATCCAAGCACGTGCAAGTGTAGGAACCAATTCCATCTTTACAGTGGCCACCATAGTGACAAGGATTTGAACTGCATTGGTTCCCATCTGCAAAAACAAACCAAAACACAAATTATTGGAAGACTGCAAGTATTTTCAGTGAACACGGAAGGGCTCTTCATTTTCTTATGCCATCTTTCATCCTTCCTTTTCCAATATAGGTCCTGTGAGTTGCCACATTCCAGATGGAACAAACAGTATAAATGCAATCATTCCAAACCTGCAATGATTCATCTACATATCCTCAGTTTTGCAATCTCTTTTTGGTGGCTACTCTTTGACAGTGTGTACACAAGCCTTTTTTTGTGGGAAGGTAAAGGGATTAGCTCAGTTGGTTAGAGCATGGTGCTTACATGGACAGAGTTGTAGATTTGATCCCTGTATGGACTTTTCATTTAAGAATGATCAATGACATTCATCTTTGTGGGTCCTCCCAACCCAGAATATTTTTTCATACTTTGATTGTGGTCAGAGTATACATAGACTGAAGCCTGTAAGAGCTGACAGAACATTTCTGCATTGGAATTACTGCCTAAAGATACTGAACTTATGTCCTCTTGCATTTCCGTATAGCTTTTGCTCTGTTTCATATAAAATGTAGAGTATCCAGAAAAGTGATGTTTGATAATTTGCTGCTCTAGATAACATGCTGCAATCCTCCTATTTTACCACTTGTTCTGCCCCTCTTTGGAGCAGCCTAAACAGCAATGCCCATAGCAGAAACAACATGCAAGAAGCTACTCATACCAAGGACACAGCATGCTCCCTCTGTGGTGTTTCTGGACTCTGACCTCATCTGCTGCAGCTTTGCCTGCCACAGGGAACAGTTGCTGGGCTTTGTGTACTGCACCCACACATCAAGATCCCTTTTCTACCTGCACGTGGCCTAAACCAATAGCTCTCCAAATGCTCCAGCCATGGAGGCTCTGAAAACATGATGTCCATGCTTAACAGAGGGAAGGCAAAACCAACCTTAACGAAAAAACACAAGACAGATTGAGGGCTTAAAGCATAACTTCTGATTTGTGCCTCCTCTGCACTGCCATAGCACTCTATTCTGTAGTTGTCTTAGCTAAGCAGCATTCTATTGTTAGAAAAGATACTTATTTAGTCTTATCCTACACTGTAGTTGCAGCTGTGGTAATGAGTTCTAGATCAATTTACATCAATATATCAAATTCATATAAATATTGCACAAATTGCAGAATTCCCTACTAAAAAAGGAAGCAAGAACAAATTGTTCTAGTAACTTGGCTGAACGTAGCTGTGTTTTTCAGTAATTCTGAACACACATAAAGCATTTGTGGACTGTGGTTTAAAATGTATTAAAACTAACATTTCTGCTAGGAGCATTGGCACTGATATTCTGCTGCTTGTATTCTCATGAGAAAATGGTTTGAAATATTCCAATCCTGTTTACTGTAACACTGACACAAGCTTTGCTTGAAATTTTAGTCTGTAGGTTACAGAGTTCATCCCCTGCTTAGAGGATTGTGAAAGTTTGTGGCAAGTCTTCATGGCAACTGTCTTCATTTTCCTGCAGATTCCAAAAGACAAAGCTGGTCAACATTTTGGAGGTACTCCTCCTAGTTTCTAAAGTGGACATATACTTTCTGGAAAACACATTATCAAACACCAATACATTAAAAATCTATCCCTGCACAGTGCTTACAAACACTGGAACCCTAATAAATAAAACTCACATATTTAGATAAAAAAACAGAAAACTGTTAGGTATTATCTGCTGATCTACTGGCTTATTTTCCTTGAATGCCAAACAGTTCTGTAAAATACACAACCTAAAAAATGTTCTTTAAGACAGGAATAAACAACACTTTGGCATGGAAGGAGACAGGAAACTGGCAAATGACATTGCAATGCAATTTAACTTTGTGTTAGTAATGGCATTTAAGAGACACCCTCATCTGTGACTCTTTGCATGTTGAATTCTCCCATCTGGGGCTGCCCCTCTGAAAGAAAACTATCTGGCAGTACCACACATAGTTTCTGCTCCTCACTGTCCTTTGCGTGCAAAGCCCCACAGTTCTCTTTTTGAGAGGACAAAGGTCAGCCCAGCAACTGGAGACAGCTGAACCCTGCCTTCAAATGAAGCAATTGGGTTCAAACAACAGCAGGCAGTAAATCAGATTCCTTTTTCAAAGGAAACACAATGTGAGGGTGTCCCAGAGTGAAAAGAGAGGAAGCAAGGGAGCAGGAAGGGGTTACTTAAGATGTGTATACTTTCAAACCTTGCAATAAGGAAACTAAATCTTAAACAAGCACAAGGTATTTCTTACCTACATAGATGTTCCAGAATTCCTCCTACAGGAAAGTGTGGGAAATGGAGAAAAAAAAAGGAGATAGATAAGAATTATCGAATTCCTCAGAAAAATATTAGCCTTTTCATATACAGGATACTTGCAGCTAAGAATTGTTAAAGGAAATATTTACCTTATAGATACATACAGTGTCTTGCAGCCCACCATTACCATTTAATAACAAAACCATTTGGTCCCATCTGGTGCCCAGCTCTACAGAATCCATATGGTGTCCAGCTCTACAGAAACAAGTCTCATGCATTTTTCAGAACTATCTGAAACTCCTTTGAGTTTTTTTCCAGTGTGACGCATTCAGCATAAGCCACTTGATTTTCTTGCATAACTATCTTCCCACCAGTGCTGACCGAATTTACTTATATTCCTGTAATGCCAAATTCTCAGTCTTGATCCCCACCCCATACTCCCATCAATCAGGACCTCACAAATCCTGACATTTAAAAATATTTTGTCTGATTTGTGTTCTCCTTTCCACCTGCACTGAGGACTCCAGGATGCTGTCTGTCCAAGACAGTCCTTTCCAGTGAAATCTGGTCACCAGGCAGAACTGGCTGTGCCGGTTCTGCTATAGGTAAGTCAACATTTATGATCTGAAGTACACTGAAGATGCACCCATGACTCCCCACCCAGGACACCTCAAGGCCACCCCAAGAACATTCTGGCCATCAAGTAATGTTAAAGGGCATTGAATTTGGCGTTAGCTCCAGTTTCAGGGTAGTTCTAAACAGCCATATAGCTGCAGTCTATGTTTGCAACACCACCTTTTCTACCTACTCCAGTCCACACAGCTGTCCCATCTCTTTAACTTCCCCTTCAACTTGGGAACAAATCACATTTCTGTCTAAAGTTAAGCAAGCCATTGGGGGAGGGCGGGTGACACAAGAGTCACACAGACTTCATTCCAACCAACATTAAGGCATTTAAGAACTGTTCACAGTATACATTCTCTCAATTCAGAAAAAGAGAGCTACAAAATTACAAGCAAAGCTCTTAAGATAAGTTCCGTAAAATTCCCTCATGAGGTTCCGCTTCATTATTTGCCTTCCCAGACTTCCCGTGGACTGCCTTGACCACAGTCATGGCACTTAGTAACCCAAATAGGGTAACACATGTAACCCAGATAGGGTGAACATATTTTCAACACTGATAGAAACAAAGCCATTGAAGGTGAAATAACTTTCAAAGGCAATTAAACAAATCAGAAGAATAGAGGATTTAATGTGGGCTGGCCATGCAAGAGCTAAATTAAGACTGCCGTGGAATGATTATTACCTTAGCAATTCTACCCACAGTCAATCACTACTTGTTCTTTGTGTTGAGTGATTTGGAACAAACTGTGAGTTTTGATGCCCAGCTCAAAGGACTTGAATAGCATTTTTTAAACATGAAACACATAAGCCTATGTTTCATATTAATAGTTCATCCTTACAGTTTTCTCCTGGTCTTCAAAAGCTTCTCTTGCTTCTTCTTTTGAGCAGCGCTCCTCATTGCATTCTCTTTCAATATTCCCTTTCTTCAATTCTTCTAAGAAAGAGTTAGCACGTTTTGTTCTTTCCAAGAACTTGTTGGCATTTTCTTTCTCGATGAATACTAGATAGCAGAGAAAAATTATACAGGTGGATAGCATTTGGTGGTGGAAAAGTCATGACAAATGAGTGAAGTAGAAACAGAGCTAAAACAGACCACACTACACCTGTACACATTACCTGTGTGGTTAGTCCTCACACAGGCTGATACATTCCAATATCTTTCAGATCAGTCTCTCTGAGAATCAGTAGCCTCAGAAAAAAATGTAGGACCCCAGATTTTCTCCTACTCTTTTTAATCTTAGAAAGGTTGACAATAGGGCTTATATTTCTGCTGCTTCTGCTCAAGACTCTCAGTCTTGAATGGAATGACTTTCCCTGAATGCTGGGGAGATTACATTCCTTGATTTGTTTTTAAAGCTGACCACCAGGCAACACTGCTGTCTGCTCCAGGGGCTTGTGCTGCAGAAACTAAATGCCACTCAAGATGCAGCAACGTATCTTCTAGCAGCTGGAAAAAGCCCACATGTGAGTTCTGTTAATCTTCACCACTCTAAATCCCACTGAGCTGCCCTGGGGTCTTCCTGCCCTCCTAACAGCACCTCCCAATTGCCTGTAGAAATGTTCCCGCCTTCCTGATTTATGTGCATGCAGAGCTAAGGCAGCTGCCTTGTAAGATTTTACAAAGAGCAGGAGTAAATGAACATCAGCTTTTTTTCCTGCTTTAGCAGGAAAGTACAGCCTGAAGTCAGTTTGCTGAGTTATTTTATTCTGAAAAGCTTGGTGGCACAGAAGCCTGAAGCTTGCTGCCTTCAAGTTCAAGAATTAGGTAGCTGTTGAGGAGGATCAGAGACATGAAACCATTATCAGAGACATAAACCATTAAACTTATTGCAGGCACTTGCCTCTGTGGGCAACAGCATCAACCTCCAGTGACTTGTGCAAGTTACCAGGAAGGAAAAATAAACACAACACTGGAATAAATAAACTGCCAATTACCTTGTAAAGAGTGTATGTTCTAGGAAAGTGTGAAGAATTTGGAAGCTGACATTTAATCAAGTTCTATCACCTGGAATTTACACTGAGGAAATACTTTCCAATCACAGGCTGGAGTATGGAATAGTATGCTACATATGTGACTTCAAGGACAGTAGCTTATGCTCACTGGGAGGCTTGCACATTCCTTTTGGAGCATTCTTCACACAGTTTAATTCAATGATAAATAAACTTGGTAATAATAATAATAATATATAATAAGGATTATATACCCTAATATCCACCAAGTGAGCACACAGGAGATTTATTTTGCTTTCAATGAAATTGGTGGATCATCCACAGGGAGACAAGTTCTGTTTTTTCTTATATTAAGCAATCCCATGTGTAGTTTGAGGCCCCCACTTACTTTGAAAAGGCTCCTCTCAAGTAAGGCTTACAGAAAGTACTTTTAAATTGCAGCTCAGCGACTGTTAGTTCATTCACCCGCTATCTTATTTGCCCTTAAATCCCTTTCTTCAGTGACAGGACACAGCCGGTGGGGTTATCAGGTTTATATTCCTTTGCTTTCACACCACCCGCGCAAGAGGATGTTTTCATAAACTTGGACTAGTCTCTTTCTGAGGCTGCTCATTCTTTTTCCCAAGCTCTCTATCATACTTCCTTCTTTAGAGACATCAAGGAGCAACAGGCACTGGTCAACCGAAGCAAGATATTCCAGAAACATGCCAAAGACCTTGTTTTAAACCCCAAGCAGTCAGACACACTGAAGGAAGAGTTAACACTTTTAAGAAGTTATTTGTTGATGCTGCCTCGGACTCAGGCGCTGACGCTGGCGGCACAAGAGGGCATCGGGACCTGCTCACACGCTGTGTCCCAGCTTCTCCACGGCCAAGCGCATCCAACCAAGACTCGGCCAGGTTTCCCCTCACACACGAGAGCACCTCAGGCTGCGGGGCCAGCTGTGCTCGGGGTGCACGGCGGGCAATCCCTTCCCTACACCGTCCCCGAGATGCCCAGCAGCTCCCTGCCCCGGCAGCTCAGCCCCCCGCTTTACAGCGGTGTGCCGGCTCGGCACAAGCGCTGAGAAGCCCTCAGCCGTGTGGAAACAGAACCTTCCGGGGAAGACGGGCCGTGGCGGGGCCGCTCCCCTTCCTCGCCGCCACTCTCCCGCAATATCGACCCGCCACCGCCTCCGGCGTTCCCCGGCAGCCCCCCGCCTCCCCAGAAGAGTGCTGGGAAGGGAGATTCCCCCCTCCCGAGGAGATGGAAAAGGTGGCGCCTCACCGGCCCCCTGAGCGCGGAGCAGCAGCAGCGGCAGCAGCAGCAGCAGCAGCAGCAGGGGCCCGGCCATGGCGGCGCCCGACGATGCCGCTGCCGGGGCCGCGACGGCGGCACGGACGGGACGGACGGGACGGGCGGGAGCCGAAGTCTTCACCCCCTCGGGCGGGGTGAGACTGGAGCCGCGTTGCTTCACCCTGCCCAGAAATAGCGGAAGCGCCGGGACAGGGTGACAGCCGCGGCGGGATTTCTCAGTCGGGGGGGATGAGGCTGCTCTTCTTTTTGTTCTTTATTTTTTTTTTAAAGCCCAAGGCAGCGTGGGGTTTGTCTTGTTTTGTTTTTAATCGCACCTTTTATTTTGGAGGAAGGGAAGTGAATCGTCCCCTCAGCAGGCTGGCGTGGCCCCGGCCCGGCGCTGGGCAAAGCCGGGCTCCCAGCCCACAGCAGGCGCCGTCCTTGGCTGCTCCCAGCCGTGTGTCCCATCCACATCCAGCACTCTAACCTGTTGGCTTTGGACCACTGACCTCGGCCTCAATCTCCTCTTTCTTGTGGGGAGTTCACAGTGCGCTGCTCAGGCCGTGTCTTCCGTGCTTCCAGAGCCAGCCATCGGGTCTCCTTCATCTCCTCGGCTTTCCTAAGGAGGCTGTTACATTAAAATTTTAATCTAAAACCTATATTTGTTTTGAAAAAGTCGTTTTGTGTGGAAAGTATTAGTACTGATTTCTTTCAGCGTTTTAGCCTTGTTTCTGCAAGGTGATTTGTTCATAAATATCAGTATTTACACTGGAATGTTACAGAGGATAAATCATGTTGTGGATCATGGAAAACACAAACTATTCTACCTTGAGGAGTCCTCAGGGATAGTTTTACAGTGCTGAGCGCCTTATCTAAATGAAAATGAGGCTTTATTTACTGGTCACTATTTAGAGTCACCTTCCTCCTTGAGAGTGGTCTCTCTTTTAGGAGTAAGTAGAACCTCCAATGCATGTATGTATATATAGTGTAACATCTCTTGTTTTTCAGGTCTCTTTGCTGCCTTTCTCAGTTCAGTTCATTACCTAAGTGAACAGTGACACTTCCTTCTTTGTCAGTAGAACAGGTTATAGGATGTTCAGTATTGCGTGATATATGTACCACACAATGTCAGTGTTTTCCCCTAATAATAGAGTATGACTGTACCCTACTTGCTGACAAGCTTTTTTGGGTGAGTTGATCTTCTGCATTATTTGAACCATCTAGAGCATAAATTCTTCATGAGATAGTTAAACTGTGTTCTAATCTCCTAGTTCAGGTTTATCTTCCTCACCTTTTCAATTTCATGCTAAGGTTAGAAAGTACATTTTTGAATGGTATATGTTTTCAGAGAGCTTCAGGTTCTACCATTTATGCCTTAAGACTTTAGTGAATGGTCTTTGGTCAGCGTTTTTCAGAGAGGTATACAATTGCCCTGTTCTGGTTTTAGATCTCAGGATAGAGAATACAATTGAGATTATACTGGACAACTGATAAACATTTCATTTGTGTTCTTTGTATCAACATAAATAATACATTATATTGACAAACATAATACCAAGGCAAAGATAAGATTAAATCAGTGGTATTCTTTACCACCCATAAATATAGGGTTAAGTATTGCATACTAGCCTAACAGCAATAACACTTGATGCAAGAAGATTTAAATCAAGTTTCATAGCAGACCTGTAAATATGGAATCAACCTTTTCCCAGGTTTCTAGTCCTGGAGAGTGTCTGCATTTCTCCCCTTCAAATCTCCCTGTTGCCACTGCAACTGCAGGAGAAAGCTGCTTTAACATAAGCTAAAATAAACACCTTTCCTATTTTTGTTTCTGCTATTTCATCATTATATTACAGGGCCCATAGCATAGGAATTTATGACAGATAGAAGCATCAGTGTGTTCAAAGGAAATTGCACATGTTTACGGACATTCATTCATGACTGTTCAATCTAATGCAACTTCTGTCTCAGGAAGGCTGTATTTCTCTGATTACCAGAAGCTGAGATAGTAGCTGGAGGAAGGCTTATGGTTTGCATGATGTGTTGCTGGCAGTCTTCCTCTCAGCATCTAGTTCTTATCTTTAGCAGAAATGGATGCAGAACAGAAGGGACATTGTGTCTGGTTTGTTATGGTCATTCTCTGCCTGCTTGACAAGATACACAAATTTACAAACAACACGAGAGGGAAGTTATTTTATGTGTTCAAGTAAGCCTTAGGCTCACTTTGAATCTTTAATAGTGTTGTGAGCATGTATCAAATATCTAAGATAATGAAGGGATCTTTTGATGGGAAAATGGTACAGAGGGACTGGGCAGCAACAACACAACCTGGAATTATTGAGCTGTGGCTCAGCATCATTAGTCCATGTGCTTCCTCAACCAGTCAATGTATTTGGATACCCTTGTGTAAACCCCGTAGCTGCCTTCAGCAGCACAGCCCTTTCCCCAGCTGACAATCCCAGTCAGAAACCAAGTGTTCTTGTACTGCGTAGCATGAGGACCACCACTGTCTCCCTTGCAGGAGTCCTTAACCCCAGACAGGTCCCCTGCACAGAACATATTCTCTGTAATATTTAAACCAGTCTCCTTTTCACATTGTTGTGTCTTTACACGTGGCAAATCAACTCTCATCAGAACAGAAGAGGTCGCACCTCCATCTATTAGGCGTCCCCATCCGCTTACTGTGGAGAACTTGATGGTGGACAGCTCATACACAGCAAACCTTTTCTCAGGCAAACATATTGGTACCACGTAGTCAGTGAGATTCACCAGCGTTTCCAGGTTCAGGAGGGCAATATCATTATTGACCTGTCCATTAATGTATTCTTCATGAATGATCATCCTGGCAACTCCACTTTCTTGCTCAGTTTTCTCATCAACATTTATTTTGTGTTCACCTGGAAAAGTTATTAATTGCAGGCAATGTTATGTAGCTCCTTGATTCATTGGAAGTTTGAGAATATAGGGTGTTTCTAGTCTGACACCTCTAAGGACGATTACCTTGTAATGCTAAAGCCTTCTACCCTAATTTTATCAGGATGAGAAGCTGCCACCACCTTGACAAGATGAGGAGGGGAAGATACATACCCAGTCTCACCCGAAGCTGTTTAGGGTGAGTATACTCCAGACAGTGGGCTGCAGTGATCACCCACTCTGGGGAAAGCAGGGTGCCACCACACTTTTCTTTCTGATCCTGTATTATAAGGGCCTGCCAACATAAAGCAAATTTATGTTTTACATCAAATGTGCTTGACATGAATCTCATCCTAGAGATGAGTTACATATTGCTTCTTCCTGTCCCTTTATGCAGCTGTGTTCGACAGTACCATGCTGACTGCATGGAGAACTTTGCAGGGGAAGTCTTCCCACGACATTTTCTTCATCTTGGGGAATGGACCCTCCATATTATGGCCCAGAGTGTATCCCTGGAAGCTGCAACTAAAATTCTTGCTGGCAGTAAAATTAAGGACTAAGGGGTCAGGAAAGAGAGACAGCTGTGCTTCTACTCTACTCCTATGAAACAAGATACTCCAGAACAATGCTATGGTGCCTAAGTGGAACAGGTGGATCTGCTGGCTATGGATGAAGAAGGAATTTGGTTATCAAGACATGGCACTTCTTATGAATTTTTAACATCACAGATTTAAAACAATAAATTTAAGGTAGTGATTTCATAAGGAAATTTTAAAAATAAAAGCAATGAAAGATTTTTGAAAACTCACTTGCCATGGACATTCACCTGGAGGACAGATGAAACCACCTACTATTCTCCCGTGTACAGTTGAATTTTTTTTTGCCAGAACTGGTATTTTTCCACATGGGTATTTCACTGGGGAAAAAAAAAAACAAACAACAAAAAAACCAAAATCCAAAACAACAAAAGGCATCAAGTGGGGTTTTATTGTACTGAATTCACAGCAAAAATGTGCAATATCTTCAGTGAAGCTATGTTAGCTGAAAAACTGATTTCTAGTCTAGGAGCATAATTTCTAGGAGCAGATTCTCAAAAATAACGTAAAGCAGCTCAGCAGGTAAGTAGTCTTTTTTGTTTGGAAACAGCCAGAAATGCTCTTAGAATTTGAGTTCAGGCCCTTAGAGCATATTGACACGTAGTCACCTACCATAGGTCTTTGCAAACAATAAACCTGCTTCAGATACACATCAATACAATGAGGTAGGCTGCAGGCTGGAGTGCAGAAGTGACCCTGACAAGCTCTGTAGTCTCCACATTTTCCTTGTCCCTGCTGACTTTAAGTCAGTTGTAACAAGTGCACAGGGTGAGACAGAGGTGTAGTCGTGGGCTGTACATCTTGCCATCCTTTGTTTGGGCAGAGCCAAAGATGTCCCAAGAGCAGACACTGCCTTCTGGTCTGCCTTTCCCAGACTACCTTGTTTGCACGCATCCAGAGCATGCTGGATTATTCCAGACTGCACATCTCTCTTCTGCCTGAGCTAGCATGTAAAGACTGGCAATAAAGAGACCCAAATCCTGACTGAACTTGCAGTTAAGCTGTAGTGCAGAGGAAGTCTTGGTGGTTTTGGCACATCCTTCATCCAACTGAGTTTTCCTGTAAAGAAGGTCTGCCCTTGGGGGTGTCTGTGTGCCACATGTCTGTGCTGTGACTGAACACACCAGCCCTTCTGTCTGGCAGTCACTTCACTGTGTGACAGCACTGTGAGGAGCAGTGCTCTTTTTCTATCTCTTTGGGAGCCAGGGTCCTATAGTCTCTGCTGAGCTGCATGCAACATCTCCATGGAGCTGTAAGTACTTCAGCTGACATGAAGACAGCATCAAGGTTTCACAGGTACACACGAGGTATGGAGAAACAGGACTAACTTTCTGGTGGCAGCTGGTGAAAGATTAAACAGATAACACGTAACACCTGTAGTCTCTAATGCTGTGTGTAGGGCAACACAAATTTGTGCCATTGTGGGAGATGACAGAGGGACAGTGAGGGGACTGTCAGCCTGGCAGTTACACAGTTTTTTCTACTTGCAACACGTGGTCAAATCTACAGCTATTTTGGTCCTCAAGAAGCAAGCAGCAACAAATATATCTTCCTTGCAGGGAAAGATGCACTGAAAAGCCTGTGAGGAATTCTGAATTCTTTGTTCTCAGCTTTTAACAAAAGCAGCTTTCCCATCACGTGGTATTGCAGAATCTGTTAATAAGGGATAAGCACATTAGTAGACATTTTTTTTCTAATGAAATTGCTGTTGTTGGGAGCTAGGTTGTCATTACCAGCTCTGTGCATGACTGCTCCATTGAGGTATGTGTAGGGGGGCACCACCCCTCAGAATTACTTTGCATGCTTCCTGTGGCTCTGTCCATTATGTTGTTATGCTCATATCCCCAGGGGGTCTCCTTTTCCCTCTAATAAAGTAATTCAAGTAGGCATCTGCAAAAGAGTCAGGTGCCAGCTTATGTATTGACAAAAAGATTAACTTGCACTACCCTAGTCCCAGTTGAATTTTACCTTGCTAGATGAAAGAAATACTAACTTTAGTGTCTATAGGAATATGAAAAGTGTATTATTCCTAGCAACTGGGAGAAGAGGAAGAAGAGAGGAAGGAAGGGAAGGAAGGGAGGGAAGGAAGGGAAGGAAGGGAAGGAAGGAAAGGAAGGAAAGGAAGGGTGGGTTAACTGTTTTTCTTTTGGTTTTAATAGGCCTCTTCCTCTCTTGACTCCTGTGCTGAAATAAATACAGTAATAAAATCTAGTCACAATTTCAGATTGGAGAGACAACAGTAAAACAAATCTGCCCCCAAAGTATTTTCTTACTGTGAGTGTAAGCTAATACAGAAAAAGGACTTGTGAGGCCCAGAGGCCCTCCACTCACCAGATATCCCTCAGCCTGACCCCAAATCCCTGACCACCTGCTTCCCTGCTTTAGATCACATGGTGAGGAGTGAGCAGTGTCTCCACTGCTCAGTTCCTCTCTACTCAACTAGTGGTGAATGTGCTCCCAAAGGAAGAGACAGGTTCATCTCCCTCCTAGCTCTAAGCAGGTGGGATGGTCAAACCTGAATTTCCCACATTCCAGAGGGGTAGACTTCTTCTAGGAAGAAGTCCAAAAGGATGTCTGTTTGGTGGTCATGCTGACAATTGCTTTTCTGGGGAGGCTAACTTGTACCAGAAGCCAAATGTACAGTGTGGGACTCTGCCCATGGAGGTGTGGAGCTGGTATCCAAGGGTTATGCATGTCCTGACATGTACACATTGAAAACTTTTCTTCTAGAGCTGGCTTAGGCTTAGCATTAGGTTGGTAGTGTCTTACCTTGAGGGATGCAGGACACGCCGTCACTCGCTAAAGTGTAATCATCATCACAGAAGCACAGTCGTATTTTGGACTGTGTGTCAGTACAGTACTGTTCACAGCCACCGTTGTAAAAAATGCACTTCAGTTTGTCAGCCACAGCTGAAGTCAGAGAAAGAGCATTTAGGATTCAAGACTTGGATTTTTGTGCTTAACATTGATAACTTGCAACAGGAATGCAAGGCAGGAAAAAAGATTTCTGTCATTTATGCAGAGCAACTTCATCAAAAGTGTCTTCCATCAAAAGCTCAGTAGGCCTGGATCTCCAGGGATTAGGGTAGAATAGGCTTTGCTTAAGAAATATATACCTAAAATTAAATCAATCAGCATTAATACAGTACCTGAGCTGTCTTAAGAATGGAGATATTGTAATTGTGTGGTAACCATTGTAAAATATGACTGAAAAATTGTAATTCTTTGACATTTTGCCATTTAGAAGGAGGATGTTCTGGGATGGCTGTTGAGACTGCCTGCCTAGACTTGATGAGTGACTAGCCCTTGTCCAGACTGTGTTCTGAGGATATAACACTTAATGTTCAGCATCCTCTGAAATCAGTGGAAAGGTGTGTATTAACTTCATCAACCACTGGATCCTTTCCTTTGGGCTTTGTACCATGCATATACAATGTAGCTCTCACTTATATACTACATGCAGCTTCTAAGTCAAAATAACTTCAACACTTGAGTAGGAAAGAGTTCTTCCTTTTCTCTCAGATGATGCACAAATGCAAATTTTCCTTTTTTTTTTTTTTTTTTTTTCCCCACAAAGCCATTATAGGGCACTAAGTATCTTGTTGCCTTGTAGTGCCTGACTGCTATCTGGTTAGATCCATCACACAACACCAAAAGTGGTATGAATGGTAGCTGTCACAGCTAGAATGATGCATAATCACAGAATCATACAATAGCCTGAGTTGGAAGGGACCAATGAGGATCATCAAGTCCAAATCCTGAGTTATGATGACTGCTCCTGTTTATCTGAATGCCTTGCATTTGAATTAATAACAGGATTTTTATTTTGTTAAGTTATGCCACAGCTGACCTTTTTCACAGCTTTTGCCCTCATATTCGACGGGACAGCGGCAAACATAATCCTGAAACTGGTCATCACAAATCCCACCATTCTGACAAGGGTTGGAGGCACACTGGTTAGGGTCTGTAAAACACTCAATGTCAGTCCAGCTCACGCAAAGAGCTGCAGCAGTGGGAGTGTTCCACAGCTGTTAGAACATCCTGAATGATCGTACCAGAATAGATGTGCCAGAACTCTTCCTGGAAGAAAAAAATGTGATATTTAATTAAAAAAGAATCAAGTCTTACAGCCCTTGTTGCACAGGATGGGTTACAGATAGTCAGAGTGATGCCACTTCTTTCTCTATAGTTTGTGACAGTTAATATCCATACAGTATTCTATTTTCTAGATTGTACATTGTTTTAATATACTAACAGAGAAGGGCCATGTTTAATGCACATAAATGGGTCATACATAAATAAGCTCTATATAGCTGAAGTGGGATTGACTGAAAAAAATGTTGCACAGTACAATAATTTAAGGTGTTGTCAGGGCAGGCATTACTGGGGGTTTGGGGAGATCCATTTTCCCACCATCCCCTAGATGGTTACTGCTTGGGATTGCTATGCAGTGTGCCCTCCTGCAACTCATTGCTACTGTGTACCCCTGTAAATAGAAAAGAATAGTGCAAGCAGCAGGACAAAAAGTGCTTTTTTAACTCTGGTGTTTTAAAGTGTCAAAGCACACCCTTGAGCAGAGAGAGTCCTTAAGACAATGAGTGTTCACCCAGCCCTGTGTTACTTACAGTTCTTTCAATATCGTGGAAAATCTCTCTTGCTTCCTCATAGGAACATTTTTCTTCTATGCATTCTCGTTCTAGTGACCCCAGTTTTATCTCTTCAAAGAAGCTGTTGGCTCGTCTATGTCTTTGCAAAACGTTGCTTGCCTCTTCCTGCTTTAGAAAGACTGAAAAACAGCAGCACGTTCTGTTTGTCATACAGCTGCACTTGCCAGACAGAGGGGATGGGGGGACGATTTCCCCTGAAAGATTTTCTGCTTCCAAGCATTTTCTGAGACAATTTAGAAAATAAATGGATAGATGTGAAAGAGTGTCCTTCCTCTGGCTTGCCTCACAAGTAAAGTGACAGCACAGGAATTTTAGAGATCCTGGAGCTTAGGAGAAGATGACGTGTTACAACAGAGAGGGGTATGTGTGTGTGTTGTATGCATGTCAGTGATCCATGCTGCATCTCATATGCATCTTAATATATGCAGCAGTTTCTTACAGCTGTCACAGCTGGAGAGCCTGTGTCACTTTATCTAGCACTGGTGTAAATGGTAAAAGCTGATTTTTCTGTACTTGATACAGTCAGTGACAGTGACAGGTGGATCATAGTCATGCCTTCACTCACAGTCATATGTCACATTCACACCCCTCCACTTGTGGGACCTGAAGAGGGCATTTATCCCACCACTAGTAGACCACAATTTATGGACTACTGCTTTAATATATTATCTTTTCTTTTCTTCTGTGGAAAAGGTTATGTTAAGGTACATAGGAAGGCTGGACAATGCTGACTGCATTTCCTAGTGGAGCCTGTGAATAGCTCCTGGCTCTTGCCATCACCACAGACTACAGCCATGAAAGGGGTCTTGTATGTCTCTACCATGCTTTGGAAAGATATTGGGTACACAGGTTTGATATCAGGCCTCAGAAGAGCTCACTTCCTGGAGCTGCATCCACTTCAACTGGCAGAAGTGTGCACTGGAAACACTAATGTCATTGTCCACATGCTGACCTGCTCCTCAGCCTCAGGATATAAGCACATCACACAGCTGTGCTCTCCCAGTGTAATTCAGGTTAAAGAACAAGAAGTCCGAGTGCCGATGTGTAATTGTGCTCCATGCACTACACAGGAAAAGTCTTGAAATCATTAATTTTTCTCTTTTTTTCTCCTTTATGTCAGTAGGGGAGCTTCTGGAGCTTCATGACAGCTTACATTTCAGCACTTTAACTATTACACTTCTGCTTGTGGGTAGATTTGGGGATTGAGGCTGATGCATATCTCCTGCCTTTCCCCAGGACAGTCTCTCCAAAAGAGTGGGAGTAATGTTCTACCTGCTGAAAGGGCCCTGAGGGATGCTGAAAGACAGACTCATGTCTTTAAAAATATTGGCATCACCAATATATACCAAAATCATAAATGCTGAGAGGGTTTAGTCTGAAGTGATATGTCTCCATAAACATTTGTCTCTAATTCAGGATATTTGCTGAATTACATGCAGAATAGTGGTAATTATCCCCTGTATTTCAAAGTTATTTAGAAGAATAATTCATCCCTGGGTGCTTCATAAGCATTTGGTCATTATAGGAATGTCAGCTGTGTCTTTCTGCCTTGATTTCAGTCAGGCTGAATGCATTTGATATGGCTTTCTTAAAGGCTTTTATTTAACCTTATACTGCAGATATATGGCACATGTACCAGTGCATGGGCACAGACTCTGACACAGGACCATGCCTGAGCACGTGTCTTGGGTTGTCCATCCACTCATTTTGCCATTATCCACTTATTTCTATTGGATCACTTCTGACTTTGCTACCTATTTTTCTGCCTTTCCTCACTGTAACAAACAAGACCTAGTCCATGGCTAATGGGGAATCTGAGGGCACTGGATCTGTTTTATTAATGTGGGAGCTGGTTTTTGGACATACACTGAGCAACTGAAGAGCTACCTCTTCTCTGCCTTCTACTGAAATAGGGTGGATCCTCCCCACTTTAATTACTCATCAGCTGAATGACAGGCTACTGATGCTTTGCTTTGAAAAATGTCCCAGTTCTGCATGAAATAGCAGTAAATCCCAATTCCTTTCTTCACGTAGACAGCTGGTGGTTTGCCTGCTGTCTGTGCACCAAGATAACAAATTAATTTAGCAGTCTAGAGGTGTTTTTCCTTAGTTGGCAGAACAAGTGTATGGAGCCATTGCTGAGAGTAAATTAGAGCTAATGCACAGGCACAGCAGGAGACAGAACAAACATACAACAGTGCTCAAAACTTGCAGTGGAAATCACCTCAGTAACAGGAAAGAGGTCCATTGCTAGTAAATGTAATTATAGCTATATCTTACAACATACCTGCATCCAGAGAAAGAGGGATCAGTAGCAGAAAGCAGAGAAACAAAGCCATATACTGCCTGGAAATCATGATGAACCCTTAAAGCCAGTGTTCTGCTAGTGTATTGACATTTCAACAAGGACTGTTTGGCCAAAGGGCTCAGCTTCAAATGCTTGGAGCCAGAGGAGGGGCCAGCAAGTCATGGAAACAGCAAAAGATCCATGACAGCCTGGCAAGCTGAGCAGAAGGGCACATGCAATTCCTGCAGTGTGCCCTTTTCACAGAAACAGGGAGCTTGGGTTTGGAGTGTGCTGTCCTGACTTGGGCAAAAGCTATACTGGTTACACATGCTGCTACCCCAGCCTGCATTTTCCATTTAACACACCTTTTCCATGAGAAACATGAAGGCTGGGATCCTGAGTCCATAGGACAGTCAGTAATTTGGCCACATAGTGCCACATGCAGAGAGAAGTGATGTGACATTTATCTTGCATCTGCAGTCAAGGTATGGCCTTTTGGTGCTTTGGAGTATGATTGTACCACTGGCATCTATTCTCAATTTTCTATCACCAGTTGAAATTCCACACTTCTTTCTGAATTTGCTTGGAGACACTAATTAACCAGCAAGAGACACCCTACACTGGTTCCCTCCATCTTTGCTGCCAGACCTGTGTGGCCTGCACAGGTTGTACCAGCTGGAAGTGGTGCTGAGCTGATTCATGTTGTACTTCATTAGGAACTGCAGGGGCTTGAGGGGCCATTCTGCAGACAGTGCTCCATCTGGAACATAAGCAATCCCCTGATTTAATGGAAATCAATTAATGGCATCAGACTGGAGAGCTGACAACATTCTTGGGGAAATATTTACTCAAGATAGCAGCAAGGTAAAGAGCATGTTTGTCTATGAGAAGTGAAGCATTAGCTGAAGGCTAATTTTTCCAGGCTGTTTTCCCCTTCCTGCCTGGAAAGGAAGGAGGGTCAGCTCTGCATCTGAATGCTACAGCAAAGGAAATCAACAGCTGGATTTTCACTTTGTGCCAACACTCAGCATAACTCCTTGCAGAAATCGTGATTGTTTAGGAAAGTCAGGCTCCTGGCTGTTGTTTCCATATCCCTTGTCTAGCAGCAGTACACACAGCTGGATATTCTGCTTTGAAATCTCTTTCCCAAGAGGCAGTATCCAGGCATTTCTCTGGATCACAGCCTGGCTAATTCCCAGCAGCCCAGTTCCTGGGATGGCTGGGAACAGATGGCATGTCCTGTCCCAGGCAGAGGAAGGAAGCCAGTTACTGAAATGCAAAAGAAGCTACAGCAGCCCTCTGCTGCTCTTTGGGAACCCTCTCCATACCTCTCAGCCTGCCAACACAGCCCTTACTCCTTGTTCACTTGCCTGTGGCAGTGAGTTGAAAATAGCAAGTGCATGTTCAGATTAGCAAAACTAAGCCTGAAAATTTATTTTTATCTCATCTTCTTGGGAATGATGTAGCCCCATCTATCTGTATGAGTCATGCAGCTCAGAGAATGAAGTTCTGCCTTCTCTGCCTGAGGCCAACCTGAGTCTGCACCTATAACCCCCACTCCCTTTATTTCCTTACACAGGGTGGGCATCTCCCTGCAAGGGACAGTGGGGTGGCTGCCACTCCACAGTGACATTGCAGCACCTCTGCAACCTCCTTCTTCATAATGTGCAGATTCTGTACATCCTTAGCAGACTGATGCACTATTTTCCTTTTGCCTTCCTTCCTCTGCTGGCATCCCTTAAACCTGAAAGGTTTTGCTTTTATTTCTTGGGAATACAGCCAAACAGTTATTTTTAGAGCCCAGGAAGAAGCCTAAGTGCTAGGAACAAGGGTCAGTTCATATAGGGACCATCCTTTTTCCAAAAAAATTAATGCAAGTAGGCTCTATCAGGATGAACCTGAGACAGGTCACTGAGGATTCAGCACTTCAGGACTACATTCCAACTCTTTAAGAACTTTGTACTGACAGATCTCATCACACCGGTGTTTCCTACTAACTTCAGCTGGGCCTGTTCATTGCTTAAAGAGCTGTGCTTTTAAAAGAAAGTTCCCCTTCCATACAGTCTTAGACCCCAAATATCCTGGTTTCAGCTGGCATAGAGGTAATTTTCTTCTCAGTAGCTTGTACAGAGCTGTGGTTTGGATTCAGTGTGAGGATAAGGACAACACACTGATATTTCAGCTGTTGCTGAGCTGCGGTTCTCCTGTCAGGATCTTCTCAGTGTCTCATCCTCTGCCAGTGTGGAGCTGCACAAAAAGCAATGAGAGAGCATGGCCAGGACAGGAGACCCAAACTGGGAAAGGGCAATTCCATACAATAGAATGTCATGCTTAATATATAAACTGGAGTGAGTTGGCTGGCAGGGGATGATCACTGCTTGGAAGTAGGACAGGCATTGGTCAGTGGGTAGTGAGCAATTGTATTGTGCATCACTTGTTTCTCTTGGGTTTTTTCTTTCTCTCTCTATGTCTCTGCTTTTTATAGTACTAATATTATTGCATTAGTACTGTTAATATTATTATATGTTATTTCACTTCAATAATTACACTGTTCTTATTTCAACCCATTTTTCCTGATTCTCCTCATCTCAAGGGGAGGCTGGCATTGAGTGAGCAGTTGCCTGGTAGTTTTGTGTCTGCAATTAAACCATGACTGTCCCCCCTTAATGCTCATTGTATGGCCTGGACAGCTGAGATGATTACCAATCTGACCAGAGTATTAAAACAAGTTTTTTAAAAGAATTCATTGCATTGGTTTAATAGTCACTGGTCACAATGCTGATTTACTTGCCACCAGAGTGCTTGTGCTTGTTCTCAGGTCTGAGTTATGCAATACTTTACTTGCAGTGTTTGTTGTAGTTTTGGTGTCTGTTGCCTCCGGGGCCTGGCTTCTGTTGTACTTCCTTGTATCAGTTTTTGGTCTGATAGATCCTCTGGCTGTGAAATGAACCCGCTGTGTTCCCAGCATCGCTGTCCTCTTTGTATTTCAGGAGCCATCTACTGGGAACTATTAATAATTACACCTAGCCCCAAACCCCACGACAAGCTTTGCTACTCGAAGGAGGAGGAAATGGATTCAAATTCCAGCAACCGGCTCTGAAGCTACTCAAATTCTGTTAACGAGCATTGGGGCTACTCACACTTCAATGGATTTCACTTGGAGGGATGTCCAATACACCTGAAATTGAATGCCCCAGGGGTGGAAGAACAGCCCCACCGTATGCCATGTATGGATCCAGAGGCAGTGGAACAGGGTGAAGTTCTGGAACACCTGCAGTACGTTGATGATATCTTGTGTGGGGCGATACAGCAGAAGTTATTTGAGAAAGGGAAGAAAGTAGTCTAACCTGTTCTGAATTAGTTTTGCAATAAAACAAAGTAAGGAAAAGGGACCTGCACAGGAGATGCAGCTTTAGGGAATACAGCAGTGAAGAAGGATGAGAGAGCAGCAGACAAGGGTGTTGTCGCATCACAATTTATGTGATCATAAAATAACAGCAACGTCTCCATCAGCTAACCAGAAAGAAATAGAAGATTTCTTAAGTGCTGCAGGTTTCTGGAGAATGCACATTCCAAACTGCAGTCTGATTGTCAGCCCTCTCAAGTGTCCAGGAAGAATGATTTCAACTGGGGCCCTGAGCAACAAGCCTTTGGACAAGTCAAGCAAGAGATACTCATGCTGTAGCCCTTGAGCCAGTCTGAACAGGGCACAATGTAAAGAATGTGCTTTACACCACAGACAGAGGAGACTGTCCTACCTGCAGCCTCTGGCAGAAAGTACCAGGGGAGACTAAGATTGATCCATATGGAGTCATGCTGATTCCAGAGGATTGAAAGTCTACTGTACTGTAACTGCTGAAGAGCTACTGGCAGCTTATGAAGATGTTCAAGCAGCTTTGGAAGTGATTGGTACTGAAGCACAGCTCTTCCTGGCAGTCTGGTTACATCTTCACATCATGCAACTGATTGTGGCACGGTGATGATGGAATCGAAACTGGTTTCAACATGCAACAATCCAGCACTATGTGCCATCTTTCCTGCCCTGAAAAATTGTTATGAAAGGTAAGGACTAGGGTCATGGGTTGATTGCATTCAGTGGACTTTTGTAAGGATGGCCTTAGACAGACTTAGAGAATGGTATCTGTGTGTATATCTACCAAGAGATGGAAAAGGTGATGGGGTATTTGGAAGTGTGGGACCTGGCATGACACATGAATAAGGGTTGAACACTGTTCTGGTTTCAGCTGGGACAGAGCTTTCTTCTTCAATGCAATGCTGGGATTTTGGACTCAGTAGGAGAATAATGATGACACACGGATGTTTTGGCTGTTGCTCAGTAGTGCTTACCCTAAATGAGGGACTTTGAATTTCATGCTCTGCCACTGAGGAGCTGCACCAGAGCCCATGAGGGAGTCTGGCCTGGACAGATGACCCAAACTGACCAAAGGGATATTCCTTTCTTAGAAGCCCAGTATACAAGCTGCAAGGGATGACTGCTGCTCAGTCAGAGCCAGGCTGGGTACTGGTCATCAGGTGCTGAGCAATTGTATAGTCATTACTTGTCCTTTCTTGTTTGTTTTTGGGGTTTTTTTTTTTGCTGCTTTTTTTTTTTTTTTTCCCTCTTGCTCCTACTAGTAGTAGTATCATTAGTTTATTAGTATTATATTTTACTTTGTTGCAATTATTAAAGCATTCTTATCTCAACCCACAGGTTTTACTTTTGTGTTCCTGATTCTCCTCAGCCCACTGGGTGGGAGGGAGTGAGCAGCTGCATGGTCATGTCCTGTTTGGGGTTAAACCATGTCGCCAGCCAGAGGAGTAAATAGTTTGCTTTTCTTCCCCAGAAGATCCCTATGTATTTTTTTGTTTTCCTTCTTGTGTGGTCTTGCTCTAGTTCATGAGCTCTCCCCTGTAGTTTTATAAACTCTATAAACCTCTTTGCCAGTGCAGTCTTCAGCTTTGGCTTATGTTTTGTGAGCAATTCTAAGAAAAATGAACTGCCGTTCAATTAAAAATTAAGATATACTAATGCAAACATGTGCCTCTTCTCATGGATGCCACTAGAATCAGCTCTTTAGAAAGTATGATTTAGGATATTTCTTGATGTGACAATTTATTTTTTTTTTAAAAAAGAAAGTTAAAAAATTAAACATGAAAAATGTTAACACTACAAAATAAAATCTAAAGCAGAAATATGAGCCTGAAGACATGATGATGTCTCAGAACATGCCCTTCTTTATATTTTCTTTGCTTTCTGCTGAGTTGAAGAAAAGATATGTATGGAAGCTATTTGGGAACTGGGCAGTTTGCTCTGATCCAACAAGTCACTGGTCATTTCAACATGACTTTTCTTGTCAGGAAACAATTAAAAAAAATAAATCAATATTAATTCCATTTTGAAGAGGCTATCAGAGATCATTTGATCAAAACTGTGTCCAGGTAAGAAAGCTTTAGAAATAATCTGCTTCTTGAATTTACAATAGCAACTTGCCATCAATCATTCATCAGACTGACTAAAAGCAAAGATTTTGAGCAAGTTAATAATTTCTGTTATGCTAATCTATAAAGATATGTGTATTATGCTGCTAAGCTTTAAAGAAAATTATTTGAGATTTAGACCTCAAAATAGAACCACATTCTGGGATAAAACTACCTACCTGTTTGACAGAGTTCTGTACCCCAATTATTCTCATAAAGAGGAAAGAGAAGATGGAAAGACTGTTTTTTGTGTGACAAGCTCTGAATACAAGCTTAACATTATATTTTTAAATTTTGATGTGGGTTATTGCTTTCTGTTCTTTCACTGCTGGAGAAAGATATCTGAAAATACAGTCAGAATAAAAGAAGAAAAAGATAATAAAGGCAGTATGATTCAAAGTCTGTCTGTTTAATGTCACAGATCTCAGTTAATAATGAGAGATACTAACCCTGCTATAAACCTTTTCTTGACTGAGGCCATCACAGCTACAACAGCACCACTAGCAAATCTGTAGTCTTTTAAATGTAGCTGGGGACCTTGCTGTCCTGTCAATGGATGGGGAATAAATAAAAATTCATCTCCTTTCAAATTATTGCTCAGAGAAGGCACTTCAGTAGTTAAATGTGTTATTTTTGGAAATACAATCTCTAAACACAGTTTACACAGAGACTTAGGGAGAAACAGAATTTCCCTTCTATTCCTGCATCCTTATTTAAGGGAATTGATTATTTTTACCTGAATGTATTTGAATACCCCTGAGTTTGGGTTGCTTCATACTACCAGGCAGACCTGGTTCTTGCCACACACATCTAGGGGGGCTGCTAATTCTGGGGACTTGTGTGGACATTCCAATCGTCACAGTGGAGCTCATAGTAACATCTAACATATCACTGAGAAAGGGGAGTGGGAGCTCCTGTCATTTTGATTTAGGTGATGTAAATGTATTCTGGTACAACTTCTGCAGTTTTACTCAATGACAACAGCTGTGCAGGATGAAGAAAATGTTTTATATTCCAACTAGCAAACTGCTTCTGTACCTATGAAAGAGTTTGTGCCCTAACTGTGGGACAGTCATGTGAGAAACCAATCATTATTAGGTTTTTACGCAGAAAACCCTTTACTTTTACTCTTTACTAAGGTACATTTAGGCTGGAATTCTTCCATTCTTTTGTACTAACAAGCATGATGTGGATCTATTCAAAAAGGCTGGACCTCCTTCTGCTCAGAAAAGGAGCAGAGGTAGGACTACCTCTTACAGAGGGAGCTGTTATGATGACAAGAGTAAACAAAAAGCTATCAAGTCTGAGTAAACCATAACTGGATCATGTAATGCACGTGGCCAACAGCTCAGCCCAAATCACTCCAGTCAGTATGAAGTTCACCTGGCATGGCCTGATGGTCCTTAAAGTCATCAGTCAGTGAATGCACAAGCATGTTCCTCTTCAGATGCAGCAAGGGTTGAACGTGGTGTCTTGTTTCTCACTCAGCTGTGGCCAAACACCATAGGATCCATGGATACAGAGCTTTCTTTGGGAAAACCCAACAGTGACGCGCTTCCTTTCAGAAAAGGGTGTGTGGGAAAAGGGGCATCAATCCAATTACCTGGAACTGGCTTTTCATTTTTTATCCTCAGCTTGCAGATAGACTTTAATTCCCTAGTGTCAGCCATGTGATTCTAAATGAGACACAACCACAAAGGTGAAATGGTGTTTTTCTGAGATGGTGCCAGAATGAGCAGACTGAGGATCTGAATACACAAACCTGGTTTACTGCTCCAAATCCTAGAACCTCTCTCTGTTTTAATATGATACCCATAAAAACCTTTCAAGACTATGAGACAAAAAAAAACCCAGAGCATGTCTATATAAAGGCATTCAGCAAGAAGTGCTGAAATTTATTCAAATTAATTACAGTAGAGACCTCTGACTTTGAACTTCTAATTCACAACAGCAGTAAAAAAGGAAATGGTCAAATGGGTTGTATTAAAGTGCAATGATGTGGAAAAACCATTGAAATAACGCAAATGAGGCTGCAGTGAGAAATGAAACTATAGTCTTATCTAAGCAATGACAGCAATATATAAGTAAATTATGTTACAGATAATTTACAAAATAACTTACATAGATGAAGATAAGCTGAATCTCATGTTGCTATTCCATTGTTAAATATCAGACTAAATATTCCTGGTCAGCACAGTATTATATGGAATGATAAAAAAAAAAAATCAGAGGATTTCTGTGTTGAAAAAGATGCCTGAAGTAAAACCCTGATCAGCATTTATATTGCAGTACTGCAAGAAAACTAAGTATTTATGAATTGTAAAGTGACACATTCAGCAGCATGAAGACTATAAATACATCTTTTACTTTGATACATCATATCTACACACATATACATATCTACACACGCAGATACATACACACAAGCATCTACATGCACATATATATGTGCATAAATATATATGTGTGTATGTATACATGCTTCAATTTGTGCTGACCGTGGTCAGCTGCATTTTGATTGCGTCTGGGGTAGGGTTGCTTCTGCATCTTTCTTAGGACTGTTTGTCATTTAAGTTCTCTAATCTGTAGCCTCTAAAACATACAATTCTGGAATAAAGATAGAATTCAGGGCTCAGCTGCCAGTGAGTCTGATGATTAACAGCAGTTCCCATTGACATAATCTGCTGTGCTTAGTGCTTCTGAAAGGTTATGCTCTTCATGTCCCCATTATTTTTAAATAATATGGTGCATAAATCAGCTAAAATCTTGTTTTCATATAAGCAAAAATATTTGAGAGATGGACAGGAATGAATACCATATTCTATCTGTGCACTAAGTTTTGTACTGTTTGTAAGGGTGGTGTGCAAAGAACGTCTGACAAAGTGAAAATTTACAACATTGGCTTACATCATACCCTGAAAAATGGCAAATTTAGCATCACCCTTCCTTTAAAAAAAAAATTAAAATACTTGTCTGTAGCATAAATCTGATCCTTCTCTGTGATTTATTTTCCCTGTGTTCCCCTTTTATAGGAAAATTATGACACTGGGGTTTTTTTCTCTTTCAATTAAGCTGGAACAAACACTGTGGCCTAAAAATGTGTTGGGCTTCCAGCCCTCATGTTTGTTTGAAGGAAGGCTCTTGACCCATAGAGCAGTTATAAGAGTTTCCTCTGCCTGTAACTGCATATTGTGAGAACTGAAAGTATCCATGCAATTACTGTTTATTAAAAAATCATTTAGTGAACAGGAACATTTGTGTTTCATTGTGCACCTGCATAAGGAAAAAGATACTACTAAATTGCCAAGGCTATGTAAACACAGTGATCTTGGTAAAGAATTTGGTTGTGAGGCCAAACAAAATACCTCAGAAAAGAGCTATTCCATTGCACGTGTCACTAAAATGTTGGAAAGGATAAAGTAATAGTTTCTCTTGATGTTGTTGTGGTTAGTGAATTGGTCATGTTTGCATCCCAGCCTCTAGGGAGCAGAAGAATATCCTGAAAACCCAAGAGAAAAGGGTGGATCAAACCTCCTTCCTCATTGCCATTAGGCAACATCCTTTTCACTGAGTCCCATTCACTGCATTGACTGAGGTATGTCCTTGGAGAAAGGGTTTCTTGGGGAGAAGAAATTGTAAACTTGGATTTATTTTCCTCATACCTATCCTGTACATGCTATGTTATTTGTTTACAATGAGCATTTAGCATTGAACACATTTTGTTTGCTCACATTCAGATTCCGGCTATTACAAAGAGATACAGTTCTGCAGAAACCTGATTGTGTGTCAAGGAGAAAACACACTTTCTCCTAACAGCTCTTCAGAGCAGAAACCTCTACAAAATCCTATTTCAAATCATTTAACTTTTATTTACAACTTCACATTCCATGCACTTTTCATTGGGATCTTCTGGGAGAACCTGTAAAAGTCAGCACTAAAAATACTCAGAGCTGGCAACACAGTACTGGTGTTTCTCCAATAAAGTCCAATGTCCAGAATTCTGCAGCAAATGACAGTCTGCAGATTTACCTTCCAGGGAGGTGGGATGAACATTTCATCTTAGCCCTTAATGTCAGAGAAGCTGGTGCTACTGACATTGCAGCTATCACTGCAACTTGATGATGTGCTCAAATTGCTGGAGGCAGTGCCTGATTCTGGGAAAAGAAAGGGGGGAAAAAAGACCACAAGAAATATTATATAGTGGTTGTTTTTCACTACTTTTTTTGATAATAGGAATCTTCAAGAGACAATCATCTCATTTAAAATACATGGCCTACCAGAGCTGCTTAAAGATTGAGCTGATTTTGAGTTGCCTATGAGCATCAGCAGATTGCTTGCTGGAATCCAACCTTCTCTACCACTGCTCAGGTTCTTTACAAACCTAAAAAAACACATAAAAAAATTAGAAGTCAGACTTCTTAATTTGATGCCTTTGAAAGTTTTGCCCTAAACATCTGCCTTCTAAGCACAGTTCTGCGTATACAAATTTCCAAACACAGATCTGCGTACCAAAGTCCATCCTCCCCTTCACGAATCAGATGAACTAGATCTCCACTTTTCACTGTAAATTCTTCAGAAACTCCTTTGTCATAATCAGTCACAACTGTATATTTACCAGGAGTCTAAATGCACACAGAGGAAAGAAAACAAATTATTTCTGTTGAATACTTCAAGGTATGCTGCAGCTTTTGTTATGTAATTATCATACTTTTCCCTTCTTTCTCATGTACCTGCATGCTGAAGATGGTGTAAATATACATACTGTGGCATTAAAATTCTGCTGATTGCTTACACACAAATTCAACCCATCAATTCTGAGACCCTGAAAAACATTCAGTGAAATGTTCCCACTACAACAATTAATTTATATGGCTACAGAAGATGAAACCAAAAGAAACTGAAAACCTGGCAAACCCATGCCATGGTGTCTGTGTGGAAGTCTGCTGACATGGTAACTGAACAAGTCATCCCTTGATTGCTCTATCATGGCACAAGCAGCCCTGACTCGCTGGGCTGCAGGTGTGCAAAGGCACGGAGGGACCTCCCCAAGGTACAAACACAGGGCTGATTTTAGAGAAGAAGCCCTGGGAATTTTGCCCAGCTGAGCATTTCAAGGCACTTTCCCTCCTTCAGCTTCAAAAGCATTCCTGAATCCTGGCCATACACACTGTACTGGTATCACTTGCTTAGCTCCATAGGAAAGCATTACTGGTTACCAGCTTAATCTCGCCTCCCCCTCCTCCTCCTTCTTCCTCCGCATCCGATGAATTCAGTGGTTCTTCAGCACTAGACCAGCCATCATTTTCTTCGGATGCATCAAGAGAATGGGATGGTTTGGCCCAACCTTGGGGAAGGAACAGCTGACAGTTAACTTTGCAGCAGTGAGCCACTGACTGGGAGAAACATTATCCCCATGGAAAAGCTCATAAG